AACACTCCAGACAGGGAGACTGCCTGGGGGTATACACACAACTCACATCATGCACAAGAACTGGCAACACAACAAGGGAGCAGGCTCAATTCTGCAATTGCTCCCAGAAGGAAGTCCTCTGTAAGGGGGGCAAACAGAGAGGCTACTCCTGTGTCCGGCACCTCAGGCACCACCTTGGGGTCCACTGGATACTGGGGCCCTGTAGCCACCCCTAACTATCCATCTACTGACCTTGGGTTTGAGGGACAGTGCTCCCAAGAAGGGTCCATTGTGGATCTGGGGACTACCACCCCTCCAAGGGATGTTGGGTTGAGTGCAGAGGGCACAGCCAACCAGCAGATGGGCAGATCAACCAGGTACTGGGGCAGCAAAGCCCTGACCAACTGAGCCTGGCAGGTGAGCAGGTAGGTCAGACAACAACACCAGGGTCCCCTGAGGCATGTGGGCAGCAATTTCCTGGCTCACTTAGCTTAGTGGGCAAAGGAATGGAACCAGGAAACTCTCCCAGTCCAAGGAGGTTGCAAAGGGCCAAGTGCTCTCCCAAATATCTTTCAGACTTTGTGAAGTTGCTGTCCAGCTACAAAGGGTACTACCCTTAAGAATATTAGTAATAATGTATTTTGTTTTACTTATGATTTTAAGTGTCTTAGTTGACAAGAAAAACAAGGATAGGAAGTTGTGGGTGGTGGCAACATTAAGGAATTCCTTCCATGCTTGGGGAGGGGTGTTGTGTCCTGAGCCTGCAAATGCAGGCTCGGAACGTTGCAATGGTCCTGGGCTTTGCAAAAACTGCCCGGGACCAGACTGAGTGGCGCCGGCTTTGCGCGTGTGCGCAAGGCGCGAAAAGTGCCTGATTATGTAGCTATGTTGTCCGGGGATCGGGACATATAAAAGGAGGCTGAGTGACTCTGCTCGTTGTTGGAGTTTGTCTGAAGCACAATAAAGAGTTGTTCTACAGAGATGTGTCCTCTTTCTTTGCCTTCGCTTCAAGGACTTAACAGTATGGGTTTTTTAGTTTAATCTGTCATCTAAGGCTGACAACTATGGAATGCTGGCCAATAGTTTTCGGTAAACTCTTATTTGCAATAAATATGTTTAGTTATGCCCTATATAAATGAGTGTTTCTGGATTAAAATTTGGGCCGCTCTATTACTACCATAGGATAGTATCTCACTGTTACAGGACAGATTGAAAAAAGCAAACAAGGAATGCAGAATAAAGCTGAAAGTTACCCTTGGCTTTCTTGGTTAATTAATAACATCCAGCATTTATAAATATATCAGGATTTATCATCTATGGAGATTCTTAGTCATCCATGCCATGGTTGTCCCAAATGTGCTGTTCAGTTGCCTTCTGAAAAAGCACTTTTGGGACTATCAGGATTTATCATTTGTGTGTTGATTTTACATTGTTTATTTGAAAATAGATCCTGTGCTAATACATCAAGGTTTGGGATCAGTTGCTTAAGGTCAGCTGTGAATGTGAAAAAAAATATCTCTATTTCTCAGATGCACTTCCCACTTATCAGATTGTTTTGCACATTCTGCAAGGAGGTCCTATCTCTAAAAACTACTTCCTGAATGATGTTTATTATATGTAGTTCCTGTTAACAAGAGATAGTCACAATATTGGACCAAAAAGAAGAATGCTCATTCTGAAAATATTTTGGTGTTGTATTAAAACACACTATTTCAGTACTTTAGGTCTTTTGGTACCAAGATTTGTCATGATTTGTATAAATATTTAACTTGTTGGTAGTTTTGATTGAATTTGCCCTTCTGAAATTTGCCACTAAAGTGTCATTTTAGTGCCTAGATGATTTAAAGAGGTTACTGGCATAAAAAAAAAAGGCAGGACAAAATCATGTTCCCAATAAGCCAGTGACCACAAAAAACATTTAGCAGGGCCAATAACATATTAGTAGCAAATGGGAGACTTCACCAACACTTGAAGTAAAGTGTTAATACCACTTTACAATGCCTTGGTAAGGCCACACTTGGAATACTGCATCCAGTTTTGGTCACCATGATGTAAAAAAGATGTTGAGACTCTAGAAAGAGTACAGAGAAGAGCAACAAAAATGATCAGGGGACTGGAGGCTAAAACATATAAGGAATGGTTGCTGGAATTGGGTATGTCTAGTCTAATGAAGAGAAGGAAGATGGGTGACATGATGGGAATGTTCCAATATCTCAGGGGCTGCCACAAAGAAGAGGGAGTCAAGCTATTCTCCAAAGCACCTGAATGCAGGACAAGAAGCAATGGATGGAAACTAACCAAAGAGAGAAGCAACTTAGAACTAAGGAGAAATTTTCTGATAGTTAGGGCAATTAATCAGTGGAACAACCTGCCTCCAGAAGCTGTGAATGTTCCAACACTGGAAATTTTTTAAGAAGAGACTGGAAGGCCATTTGTCTGAAATGGTATAGGGTTTCCTGCCTGAGCAGGAGGTTGGACTAGATGATCTCCAAGGTCACTTCCAACTTTATTATTATTATTACTTATAAGGAATTAAGATTATGACCTTTTCTCCACTGATGACTATGAACCTACCCACAGTATTTTTTTAAAATTACTGGATCAAATCCAGACTCACTCATAGTTAATAGAAGTCTTGTTGAAATAGGTGCATTTGAGTTATAACAAAAGCAGATTTGTCCACTGAATTAGCCTAGTTTTTCTGTTCTTTGGGAGAAATATATTGAAAAGAGAGAGAGAGAGAGAGAGAGAGAGAGAGAGACAGACAGACAGACAGACTTATACACAAACACATATACATACATACATACATACATATTTCTTGCTGCTGTGAAGAAGTAAAAATATTCCAACCCTAAATAATGTTGCATTGATTTTAAATGCCTGTTCTACTGTATATTTCCCATACTATTTTGACAATTTTATGTTAATTATTTGTAATATTTTGTGGTTGTAAAATGATTTTATTAACACATTCTAAAATCATTTTGTTAAATTTGTGATCTACTCAGTAAACCCTGGGTGAAATTAGGAGTGTAATAATAAATAAAAAGGGATTGGCTAGGCTAGGCTAGGCTGGCTAGGCTCTGACAGGAAAATGCTGTAACACAACACCGTGGAGTGGAGTTTGTACATTCACTGTTGGAGCCAATCATGAAAGCATTTGTCTACAAGATTCCATTTCTACTATACCTATCCTTGTTTCATTTATTGGTAGTTCTTGACTTACACCATTTGTTTAGTGACATTCAAAGTTACAACATCATTGAAAAAGTGACTTACAACCGATTTTCATACTTACAACTGTTGTAGCATTCCCCTGGTCATGGGATCAAAATTTGGACACTTGGCAAAGAAGCATGTATTTATGATAGTTGCACCAGCTTGAGATCATGTAATCTCCATTTGCAACTTTCCCAAATTATTTCCAACAAGTCAAATCAATGGGGAAGTTGGATTTGCTTAACAGGCATATGATTCACTTAACTGAAATAATTTATTTAACAACAGTGACAAAAAGGTCATCAAATCAAGCATGATTAACTTAACAACCTCCTTGCTTAACAACAGAAGTCTCAGTCCCAACTGTGGTGGAATGTCAAGGACTACTTGTAAACTGCAGTTCCTGCAAGAATCAATCAGTGCCAGTTTCCCATGAAGTTTGCTTCAGATTGTTTTTCTGCAAACCTGCCTTGTTATGGATAAACAGTGATTTAGTTACATAAAAATGGGACATACCTCTCAGCTTCAGAAATATTGGTGATTGAGAAACTTGTCTTTCCAATGCTGGAAAAAGAATTTCATATATTTGTAGGCCTAATTATGTTTTTTGTTGTAATTATTGTTGTGGATGCCAAGTAAACTAACAATTAGTATGTCCTCCTTTACAATCGTCTGTCCCTCTCTTTGCTTGCTCAGATATCTGGTAAACCTACTCCCACCTTTCCATTTTTATACCTATATAAGAAACTACTGATAGAGGACATCTGTTTGCTATTGTTGATACCTTTAAACTAGGCCAAAGGGCTATGGAAGCAGAACTTTTGACTTGGTGTCTGGGGGCTGCAGGGGTCTGGATGAGATGAAACAGGTTAAAGCTAAGCACTAAGAGGGAATTGCTTTTTCTTCAGAACCCTCCCAGCAGTGGTGGGATTCAGCCAGTTTGCACCGGTTTGGCAGAACCAGTAGCTAATTTTTGTTGAGTTTGGCAAACTGGCTGAAGCCCTAGCCCTTTTTCACAAGGCCCAGAATGGCACTCTGGAAGTGTGTGGACGCCACTTCTGGAAGTCCATTCTGGGCCCCGGTGACCCGGAGGAGGTCTCCCAGGCCCAGAATGACCTGCCGGAAGTGCATGGATGCCACTTCCAGAAATCCATTCTGGGCCTGGGCCGCCGAGGCCCAGAACGGACTTCCAGAAGTGGCATCCACGCAGAGAATCAGTTGTTCACATATTTGAATCCCACCACTGATTCCCTGTCTATTGCGACTTTAACTTGGGTGGATGTTGCCTTTCCAAAGGAGCAGATCTGCAATCCTCTCGGATTCTCAGCTATTGCTGGATTCATCATCTTTGTCTGGCCAGTGCATTACTGCACTTCTGCCTGGAATAGAAGAGATGGGACACTCATGATGACTAGACTTCTGCAATGTACTTTAACAGAGATGCCTTTGAAGATTATTTGGAAATCACAGTTGACGAAGACAGTAGAAACCTACCTGCTGAAGAGTGCGTTGCTACAGGCCCTTGCACTTATATTGTGGATATTGCATTGACTTCAGTAGATTTCTAGATACAATTCAAAGCAGGGTTTTTAGTCTACCAAGTCCTCCCAAGTTTGGCTCTTAGTATCTTTGGACTGTCAAATTTTAGTGACATGATGTTGGAAGATTCCACTGACCATCAAAAAGAGATTCAGGGCCATAGATGACTCATCCTGGAACTATTCTATTCTGACTCCTAGAAATAGTTCATATTTATTTATTTACATATATAATTCATAATTTTATTTTTTTCCCTGAAGGTTGGACCCAGGGGCCTGGAGCTATCATTGGAGAACATTCTCAAATTGGGGAACGAAAGACTCGGGAAACCATACCTGAAAATAAAAGGACACAGATCAGCCAAGATTTTTCAGGAAGGAGTTTGACTATTGACACTCTGACAGACAATGAAACCCAGATTGTGGTGAGTCTCATGTAACAAATAATTCACATCTTCAGGAGGTTTGGATTGGACAGAAACCTTTAAGGAAATTTTCCTTGTAAAAGGATGTGGGGATGGAGAAATTGGATCCCTTTAGGTGCTAGAAGACTTTAAACACCATTGTCTTTGATTGATGGCTGCAGGGGATAGAATTTTCTCTCCATTAGTATTTGGAATGCCACAGATTCTTCATCCTCATTATAAAACCATGCCTAGGTTACACAGAAAAAGAAATATACACTAATCCCTCCCTGACTCAGCTCATATTTATCAAACTCATGTAAAAATCAAGAGACCTGGGAATAAAATGTTCTTTTTTTGCTCTCCATTTTCTTATTGGATACTATCTAAATGCCATTTTTCCTCCATTATTTTTTGTGCATTGAGATCAATGGTTCATAAGTGGGAAGATATGGAGGAACCTAAAATCAGGGATTATTTTTAACAGATGGTTTTTGTTGTGTTTACAGTTCGTTGGTAATTGACGAAGACACATGGTGAAAACAACAAGCTCTTTATTTCTCTCTCCTATAACCAAGCAAGCAGCAAAAGGCATGCAGGCCTTTTATAGTGCCTGAAACCCGGACAGTGTGAACCAATAGGAATTGACCATTTTCGCGCCTTGCACATGTGCACAAGGCCGGCGCTACTCTCTCTGGTCCTGGGCAGCTTTTGGTTTGCCGGGGACCATTTGCAACAATTCTGAGACTGCTTTCAGCTCTTGCAGGCTCAGGATACAACAGTTTTAGTTTCTTGAATAGAACATTTCACCCTATATGATCATATCATATCAAATCAAATCATGTCAAATAGTGAACTATGTTTTGAATGGGACCACTCCATGTGTAGAGTTCAGGTATTTGTTTTCCTAAAAAGTTTCTAATTCAATACCACTAAATAATATCACTTTCTCTCTCTCCCTGGAGCAGTAGTCTGCTTCTCCCACATCCTTTTTAAAAGCTTAACCCCAATATCCATATGAAAGATGTGCAGGCCCTGTGGAGTTGATCAAACACAGCAGTGTCTGATTTGGTTACCTAACTTACTAGTCCTGATAGGATCCTGAAGGCTGTGAACTCAGCCACCAGTATATTAGTCCTTGTTCCTTCTGGTCAGCTAAAGCTTCCTAAGAGATGATATACAGCTAGGTCCAAATGGTGGTGAATTGACCCTTGTAGGGATGGTGTCTACTGTACTTAAGGAAGCAGATTATTTGGACCCATTTCAGGCAGTTTTGGGCCTTGACAGTACCGAAACAGCATTGACTGCATTACTCCCTCTGGCGGGAGTAGGCAGTGCTTTTTTTGTTAAAAAAAAAAGATGCTGGAATTCACACACGTCATACAACCTGCCTTGCCTACTCTACAAGGTTCCTTCCAAAAAAGGTACCGGAACTCCGTTCTGGGCATTCTATGAGGAAAAAAAACCCTGGGAGTAGGAATAGGAATATGTGGTGCATCCATTCTGGCTCTCCTTGATCTCTTAGCAGCTTTCAATACCATCAGTCATGGTGCCCGTCTGTACCTTCTCTATGGAGGGTTAAGAATGAGGGGGTTGGTGTTGCAGTGTTTTTCTTTTTTCCACCAGAGCTGGTTTCCAGTTATCTTTGAGAGGAAACAAAGCAGAGTTCCAGCCCCAGGCCTCTGCTCTGTAGTATTATTTAGGGCTGCATACCTCTCCCCACACCTTTTAATCATCTAAAAGAAGCTGATGTACACTGATGATATTCTGTTGTAAATTCCTAACCCATGTGAACCAAGTGATACTATCAAGGTTCTTTCTTGGAGTCTGGAGGCTGTGAGGGTCTAGATGGGAAAGAACAGGCTTCAATTCAACATAAGTAAGTAAGTGACCTCTGAATCCAATGACTTTCTATCTTTAGTATTCAATGGGGTAATACTCTCCTCAGCCAGAACTGATGTGGAATTTGAAGATCCTCCTGAACTTAGGGCTCTGGTTCAAGGAGAAGGTGCCAGCAGAGCCAACACGGTTTTTGCACAGATCCATCTCATGTGCCAGTTGCTCCAATTCTTGGATCTGGAGGTACTCCTCATGAAGTCACTCATGCATTCTTACCTCCCAGATGGACTAGTATACTGCCTGCTGGGCTATAACTACAGCCCCTCTATATAGGGCAGCTCTTAAAGGCAATTTGGAATCTGCAGTTGATTCAGAACACAGCAATATAGGAAGTTGCAAGTGTTTTAGCATCACGTCATACCACTACTTCATGAGCTGAGCTGGCTCCCAAAAGGTTTCAAGGTGCCAAGCTATCATCCACGAACCCTTCATGGCATAGAAACAGTTTATTTGCAGGACTGCCTGTCTTCAGCTGTTTCTGCTGATCCCTCCAGATCTGATAGAGTGCCTGTCTCCAGGTCTTTTCTATTAAACAATGGCTTCTGCTAGAACTCAGGAAGTATGGAAATATGTTTTTTGTTATGGCAGCTCTCTATTGGGGAATTCCCACTTCCCTCCCCCGACCTGCATGGTCCTGACTCTGCGGGGGGTGGAGGGGTTGCAAAACATTAAATATATGAACGTTCCCTTGAACACAGGGCCAAAATGTCAGCTGAGCATGTTTCATGTGTTTTAATATTTGTGCAAATTGAGTTATGGACTGTGAATATTGTTGAGTCCGTGGCGGGAAAACAGACACGAGAAGCAGCTGGAGTTCTCAGTTTCATTTATTCAGCGTTCAGCTTACAGGAAGATGGCTTCAGCCTCGCCCACACGCCTCGCAGCCTCTTATATAGGCAACTCCCGGGTAAATGGGTTACTTTTCCCGCGCCAGCACCCGCGCATGCGCACGGCGCTGGCGACAGCCTGTCTGGTCCCGGGCAGCTTTGCACCTGCCCGGGACTGCCTGCAAACGCCCGAGCCGTTTGCAAGGCTCGGGACATAACAAATATGATTTACTACTTTCTACTGTACATTTGAAATTGTAGGGTTAGTTTGTTATCATAATCACAAGAGAGAGTTGGGTAGCCATATAAATTGATATAATAAATAAGTACAAATAAATAGCCTGTTCCGCGGGGTTGTTATGAAGGTTTTAAAAATGTGTGCACATTGGGAATTGTTTAGCTCTCCAAGAGTTTTAAAAAATAAGTGCAATAATAGTTTTAAAATAAATGCATTTAATCCACTTCCAAACCATCTTCTTAATGAAAATAAATTCTGCAAATACAGTACTGTTTATAAGACCTGTCTAGAATTATATATTTGATGTGAAGAGCTATGAGTATGTGTGGAACTCTTGTATGTAAAGCAGTTAAAATGTTCCATGCAGTTAAAATGCTCGTGCATGTTTCAAGCACACTTGTTCTTGCAGAATTTGGTCACGTAAAGATGGTAGGTCATGTACTCCTACTGGAGACACATAGATTGTATCTATTTGAACAGAAATGCCTTTCATCAGATTGGTATCCAGCTATTTCTGAAAAAAGTAAACACATTCTATGCAACTGCTGTTATTACATGCCAAGAGATGCTTAAAGCAATTTCAGGTTCTGTTTCTTAAAGATGACTGTAATGAACAGAAGCTTTAACATGAGAGATTCAAACTCAAACTTAGGAAGAATTTAATGACGGCAGATATTCTTAAGTATTAGGACAGCCTGTTTTTTTGGAGTTGTGGATTCTCCTCACTGGAGGGTTTTCAAGCAATGATTGGACAGTCATTTGTCTGTGATAATCTCAGGATTCCTGTTTTGGGCAGAGGGTTGGATTAGAACAGGGCTTTTCAACCTTTTCACCCATTGTACCACTTTTAGGATATGGCAATATCCGAGTACCACCAGTCGCCTAGCAAGGTGTAAAAACTTGATGACCAAAAAAAAGAAAAGAAAAGAAAAGAAAAAAGTGATAAAGTACAGGTAGTCCTCGACTTACAACAGTTTGTTTAGTGACTGTTTGAAGTTACAATGGCACTGAAAAAAGTGTCCCCCAAGCCACAGCAGAGCAAGACACCTGCCTGCCCACCCGGCGGCGCTCTTCCTCCTGTCCAAGGTTTTCATTGTTGTGAGCATTTCTGCAGCAGGGGGTGGGGGGGTGTTTGGTTTTTATTCCCCCCATCTGCTGGGTGGTTGCAGCAGGTTTTGGTCACTTCACATGACCCTGGGACACTGTGACTGTCATAAATATGAATCAGTTGCCAAGCATCTGAATGTAAATCACAAGACCCTGGAGATGCTGCAACATTCCAGCTGATCGGTGCTTCTTCTGGGCTCAGCATAAGCACCAGGATCAGCACTGAGCTCCGGCTGGAGCCTGGCGCTGATCCTGGCGCTTCCGCTGAGCCCTGACAGCCCTGCAGCTCCAGCCATCTCTTGCTCAGGCTTGTGCAGTGCTCCCACCGGTTCAGCTGATTCCCCTCCCCCGCTACCACTTTTCTAGGTTGGTCATGTACCACCTGCCAGGTTCCAATGTACCACGGGTGGTACCCGTACCACTGGTTGAAAAGCCCTGGATTAGAAGATCTCCAAGGCCCCTTCCAGCTCAGTAACTCTATGAGTAAGCCACAATAGTAACACACTCATTTTTTTATAAATTATAATGCTTAAGATCATCTTCTAAACTAGAACCAAACAAGCCATATGATTGCTTTATGTCAGGAAATCCCTCTCCTGTCTCTATGGTGCCTCATATAGTTTTACTCCACTATTTACTTCTTTTCAGTGCCAATGCTAAATAGAACAGTATATTTTAATGAATTGAAATCAGTGTAGAAGAAAACACACACTGCATATTCTCACAGTGTGATGCCAAGAGTTGCCATTGCACACTATAGCTGGGAATCGGCAGTCCTACATTCTAAGTTATGCTTGTAGCTGACTGGCTTCATTTCAGGTCACTATGGGGCAAAAATGTGGCTCTGAAGTGAAAAATCTACACAGGGAGGTGACATAGTCTCCTCACAGCATGCTGCATACATCATAGGGAATAGAAGGAATAGAAGGCTAAACTTCTATCTTCTGCTC